ACATATTTCCAGTATTTTAGGAAACTTTGGGATCTCCACTAGAATTTAAGTTTTGTGGGTTTGAAGTGTTTTCTAATGACCAACCACCCACTTTTTACTTAAAAAAGCCCTCTTGCGGCCATAGTCATTGTGACTCCTTTCCATGGGGAGCAAAGGAGGAAGTAGGGTGACTTTAGGGAGCTGCAAACTCAACTAAACAAGTTGGTTTTGTGCCTGAACCTGATCGATCTTTAACCACACTAAGATCAGAAAATGGTCTTTAAAACGTTGATGTTGCCCTGTCAATAGTGGCGACAGATATGAAAACGCCTTTATCTATCATTCTAGAGGGCATTGACCAACGCCACACTTTGTTGTTTTTATTTGGAATATCTGTTGGAAATCTCAGATCAACTTTGTTGCATTTCATTGCTGTTTTGTTAAATTTATTGCATTTACTAGACTAGATATTGGCCAAAGATAGGTGCTGCTCTTACAATTATGTTTTGGATTGTAATAAATAATATAATTCCTATAAAAACTTAATATGCATTTTATTACCTTTAAAGCTACACATACCACAGGGACACACCTATACTGCAGAAGAAAGGTGCAGTTCCACACACACACACACACACACACACATTACACAGCACTTAGTAGGGAGGGTGGGCTGTGGCAGAGCCCCAACAATTTATCATCCCGTGACTTGGTCTCTATCAGAGCCATGAAGGGTTATCAGCAAACTGCTGGTGGAGGTAAAGGGGAAACGCATCGGAGCTGGAGCAGCTTATGCAGGTGTAACTTTTAAGAAGTGGGCCCGAGCAGTGCTTTCAAGTAGCAAAGAGGTTGTTCTGTTTCAGTGCATGAGTCATTTGGCTGTGATGCTTTACCTGTGGCTCAGTGGCTGAGCTCTGGCACTGGCCCAGGCTGCAGTGCAACCTATTGACAACCAGATAGAGAGAGAGAGATAGAGAAGAAGAAGAAATGAGGTGAAGCAGAGAAAGAGGGAGGACAAGAGGGCTAGAGAGTGCATTGGTGAGTGACAGACGCATAGAGAGTGAGAAAAGGGGAGAAGGATGCTGAGGCAAATGAAGAGTGAGCTTTCTTCTCTTGTTTTTTTCTTTCTTTTTGGGTTCAGTTCCAGATTCCCCGCCGGGAGAGAAGCCTGCTCTGAAGAGGCGACTGTTCAGAACCTCACTGGCATCCCGCATGTTTTCTTCTGTGTGTGTGTTTTTTTTGTGTGTTTTCTAAAGAGAGAGGGGTTGATCGTGTCAGTTGGACACTGATTGGAGTCAAAACGATTATCCCAGCAGACAGACTGTGCATTGACAGTTCACGCCTCACACAAACACATGCCCATGCAACAAACACACACACATGCTACAAACTGACACATCTGACACCAGAGGCTGATCATCTACAGCACGTGGGCCCACTTTGGAACACCATGCTGACCAGTGACTTAATGTAACAAGCCAGGGCACCAAATCGGTGTCCCACAACAGCTCATGCATTCATCCAGAGCTGTGGAACATTATCCACACCGACAATCCCAAAACCATACCCTGCCATAGCTTTCATCCATGGCAGCTGCTGAGACGATGAGCCATGACAAATGTAACATGTCCAAATGAAGCTGTCAACCATTTTCCAACTCATTCACCATTCCAGTCAAACACATTCCTTTGCTGTGAAGTTGCGATCTGGAATAAAGACTTTTTCTTGTTTCTTTAAGTACGTAACCATCTTTCAGAAACACCTCACTGTCGTACCAGTGGCTGGTCCCTATTGGACTGTGACAATATACTTCCTTAAGCTGTGAAAATCAACACGAGCGGGCTGTAAACCATGAAATCGGAGCTCAGCAAACACGATTTGTTACCGTAGCGATGCAATCAGACCTGAATCAACGTCATCCACGTCTTCAAAAAACACTTAACTATATGCAAACCTTCACAGCCCAGCTTTTTTAACCTTTTTCAGAACCCTGGCCTTCCCTTCACTCACTTTAAGATGTCTAACCCCTGGGCTCTTGCACAAATTGAATTAATTTTTCCTTGTCATAGTTCTTGTGGATTTCTCTATTGTAGATGTAATTCATGTGAAATGATGTACATTAGAACTGCAATATGCTGATTGAAATATTCCATACATGGTCTCTCTACTACAGCTGCAAGTCAAGATGTAGGGGGATGCTAGGATGTAGGATTCCTTCCATGCCGTTACTTGTTCCCTCTGATTTGTTTATGGCTGGCGGCTGTTCTCATTGTTTGTGTGCTTCAGTGTTTGAGCGTCCATGACAGTTTCTGTCAAAAGCTTTGAGTCCATTGTCCCAGATTCCAACGTGAGCAGCCAAGAACGCTCCATCTGCGCATTCTTTAAAGAGCAGATCTGTGTCAGTGTGTGTACGTTAATACCAAATTGTTAATTTCTCTGTCTTTGTTTGATACTTCTGGGAATCACCTGTTCAATTCAGGAAGCAAGTTGGCGGTGTGCGTATAACAGAAATGGAACAGACATATTGCATGGTCACAGTTCAGCTTACATGTGCAAAGGCCTCAACCAAACTAAACATGACACACGCACACACAGACCATGTTAATCAACCTAAGGAAAACATATTATGTAAGCAAGCTGTTTGTGCAGTTACATTCAGCTGGCATTCAAGACTCATTCATCTTGCTTGAAAGTAAATGTGACAGCCTATTTTCAACAGGCCAACAGCTGTATCTGTCTCACTCCTGCCTGACAAACCCAACAGAGAAGGTGTCTGACAAGACAATCTATACCCTGTCATTGTCCTCCTGGTTGATGTATACTGTATATCTGGACTGCTCAGGTTTGCTGCTTGATTACAACTGATCAGTACTGATAAGGGGTGTCATTTTAATGCTTGTTGTCATACATTAAGTTCAGGACTTGAAATTAACAAACACCAACCTGCGAAATGACAGTATGTCCAAATGCAGTGATAACTTTCATTGTATGTGCAGTGTGCTTTGTGCAAAATAGTTTGTGAAGTGAAACATAAATCACAGGGTGTGGTGATAAATCTCTGAAGCACTGCCTGTTTAATACCTTTTAAACAGATGTGCCAATCAGAGTAGCACATTAAGAAAATGGCTCAACCAAATGAGAGAAGAGCAGATCCTGTTCTCTGCATCAAAATAAAAGTCTTAGGGGTGTTTCTGGAAGTGCAATATACAGGAACTTTGGAACTTTGCAGCCAAAGGCATGTGATGTTGCTTAGTAGGTTGGATTTCTGATTTCTGTTCAGATACTGACACTTGGTCCCCATGTAATCCTATGTCTAGTCACTGCAATAGTTAACCAATTTGATTGTTAATAATAAATTTATGGTACATGTGGTTACATGCTACACTAATGGTATAGTATAATAATATGTACTACTATACATTATACTATAATATATATTCTCAAATAATGACAACAAATGAAAAATATAAGATAAATCTTGTAAGGGTTTTATTTCTCTTTCAGTCTTAACTATGTACTGTATAAAGTTATTGAAGCTAATGCTTCAGTGAATTATTGTTGTTATTTATATCAGTGAAATTACATATACATTTCTATGTCTTTTATTTTGTAGTTATAAATATTGTCAAATGGATGCAAAAGTCATCATGCTGTATTTCAAGAAAAGTGTTTAGGGTAAAGGATTAAAGGTGTTGATTATTGGTATGCAGAAAGCCCTGGTTGTTCAGCATAGTGGTGACATAGTTGTTTAAGCATGGTAATAATAACGCCAGACAGGGGTCATTATTCCCATCATAAGATCCTCCTGCACCTGCAAAAACACCACAGACTGCTGGAAGTTATTTTGGATTACAAGCACAAATACCACAGTCAGATAGATGAAGAGCCTCTCTAACCAAGCCTACACTGTCTGTGGCTGAGTAGCACACTGTCTGTTAGCAGCTTTGGTGGGAGAGAGTCTGTCTGCAGTGCAGCAGTGGACATGAACAACCAAAGCATCGCCTCTAACTGGCTGCAGTGGCTCTGTGCATCACCAAGATTTGCACCGGGGGCGAGAACCCGGGAACCCAGGTTGTAAATCGTCACCAAGTCACCACCCACAGTCGAATGCCACCCAATACCTGATGAAGAGACGGCAACGTACTGTACCACACACCAAAAGTGTGTGTGTGCTGCTGACGCCTGAGCTCACAACCACGGTCGAGGGATGAGAGACAGTTGATAGTGTCGAAAGGGAAACACACACATGACAGTGGCAACTCTTTCACAGACTAAAAGCACTTCATTCACAAAACATAAAGCGACGTACAAGATGCCAACTCAGAGCTCGCCTCACCCGTCCATGAGAGTTTACATTAGACACATGCAGCCACCCACACACTTTCACGCTCTCACACACACACACACGCACGCACAGTGTACTGTGCTCCCACAGCAATGCTGTCATAGAATCTCCTTGTTATCATCTCTGCTGCACTGCACTCCAAGTACAGTGCATCTACAGGGTTCACCTAAAAAAAAATAACAATAATGTTGCACTTTTTATACCCCAGCCCTCCCAAGAAACACACTTGGTAAGACACATTAAAAGAAGCTATCACCACTCACCAACAACTAATACCAACACATCAACAACTGACAGATAATGAGTGGATATTGTGTGGAACATACAAATCATGTACAGTACAAGAGGATAAACACAGCTAATCCTGCCTCAATATTTGAAAAAAAGGGCAACCGATTTCAAGTTGCTGCAGTAGATCAGAACTGATTGCATATGATAGTCTATTATATAGCCAAGAAGCACACAGATTTGCACACAGACACAAACATTACTGCATGCCAAATTAACCATACCCTATGTTCCCTATGGACCTGTTTGCACACAACTTCTGCCAAAAAATCATATCCTCATTAGAACATGTCAACCCCCCCTCAGGGAGAAACAAGCGAAAGGCGCTCCTCTGTCACCCACTACATCAATCGTAGAATAAAAACATCAAGCCAGAGAAAGAACTTACCTGGCAGAGAGTCTAAAAGCAGTACGTATCTAAGAGCACACGCTTCTCTGTCACCCGGAGACGGCAGAACATAACACAGTCATATGTGCATGAGATGTTGGAATAAAGACTTTCTGAGCTCTTCCCTTCGCACTTATCTATCCTATGACTTTTCCCTCACATTTATCCAGACCCTCTGACGATAGGTAGGTGGGAGGCAAAAGAACGAGGGCTAGAAACGAAACAAGGGTGGGAAAATGACAGTGAGATGCTCAGATCTCCCCCACGGAGACGAGTTGCGAGCGCACCGTGAGGACCATCCACTGCAGCAGAGCAGAGTAGCGCGCAGCAAGAGAGGGAGAGGGAGAAGAGAGAGGAGAGGCAGGCAAAAACAGGCATTTGCTGCTACTGGTTCCAACAGCATGGCTGGAGCAAAAATCTGGGACTGGAGTCCAGATCCGGGACTTCTCCTTTACTGAGCGTTTATCCGAACAGATGGAGAGTTTTGGAGAGAATGGGTGAGGGACAGAGGAGAGGAACAGAGCAAGAGATAGGGAGAGGCTTATCTGTTTTTTTTTTTTACATGGCACCAAGCAGACTCTTCTACTATCTCAGTGCCATTCGTCTCTTGCATGACATTTAATTTTTTTTTTCCTTCCTCGCTCTACCACACTATGTTCAACATCATTCTACAGCTTCTTCTGTGTCCTTATCTACAGTGTCTCTGAGGATAAACTATTAAACTGACATCATATCGAAAGCACTTTCCAAACATGGAAAAGTATTCATTTTCCCCCTCTAGTATGATGCCATCATTACCGCTTACAATGACTGTCACCCACATCTTTAGAGATTGGGGTAAAATATATGATATTAAAATGTGTTCACAAAAAAAAAAAAGAAGTGCACAGAGAATGGTGGTGCATTGAAGTTACATAACTGGTGAAATTATCCACATGGAGTATGAATACCATGGCACACAAGTGGATATGGATATTCAAAGCAAGTCGGATTTTTGAAGGGAATGCACTCCAACAATGTGGCACTTTTAGCTTCCTATCAATCTCTCTTATGGGGCAATTGGGCCACCTGGCTGAAGTACCTCTTTCTTGCTGCAACAGGGGAGCAGGCTTTTAGCTAGAGTCCTTCGGCCCCAGCAGGGCTCAAGGTCGCTTGGCAGAGCTGTTTGCCGGCAGCCCAAATCCTTCAGTGATTAACAGTGGCAGACAGGATGGAGCAGCTGTCAATCCAGATCTATTGTCTGGGCCAAGAGAGCCGGCCAGCCAACCACTGCGCATTGTAACGGTGCTCGACCAGGTAGAGCCGGGATTTATGAGCCCATTGAAAAAATTCATTCCCCCTTCACCCGAAAGGTGGGTACATGCATAATACAGATATTGTTCCCTGGCTCGTTCACATAAAAAATTTTTAAGAGAGCAGGGGATGAGACAAAGAAGGGGATGGTGTCTGGGTTTATAATGAGGCTGTGGTTCTATTCAATTCAATTTAGCTTTATTGGCAGGAATGTATAACAACAATATTGCCAAAGCATCATACAAACTACATAAGAACAATCAACCCCATACATTTAATTAAACAAGTAATTAAAGCAGAAAGTAATTAAAGTGTATGTGTGTTTGTGTGTGTGTGTTAAAAAAATAAAAATATATTAAAACATGAACGTGTGTGTGTGTGTGTGTGTGTGTGTATTAATAGACAAAAATTAAAAAAATTAATGAATTAATTAAAATAAATAAAAGAATAAAAAGAATAATAATAAATAAATAAAAAGAAATCAGTATCAAATGTAAAAACAAAACAATTACTAAAATATCAAACAATCAAAATAATAATAATTTGAAAATTTGTACAATTATTTATCAGTCTGAGGTTCCACTGGTTGTCCTCACTTCATGGCATGAGGAGACATATTTTGACATATTTATTTATTTCACACTTAGGCATTTCTCCCAGTAAATAGGGGAGTTTCTGTGTGTCTGATGTGAATTTGGATTTGGGGTATATTTGGGAATGTTTGCAAAGTGTTTTTGTCTTAGTGTTTTATATTTAGGGCATGAGGTTAGAAAGTGCAGCTCTGTCTCTACCTGTCCCTTGTCACACTGGGAGCAGAGTCTCTCCTCTTGTGGTAGCCAGCTCTGTCTGCTGACCCTTTTCTATGGCCAGGCTGTGTTCACTCAGTCTGTATGTTGTCAACATTTGTCTTAGTTTAGGACATTTTATTGTGCTCAGGTAATTTACCAGTGTGAATTCTCTTTTTAGGGTCAGATAACATTGGAATTTACTTTGTGTTTTCGTCGTTTCTTTCCAATATTCAATATATTTTTCTTTCTGCTTGTCGATAATTTGATTTGGTCTGCTCGTGTTGCTGTCCTGAGGTTGTTGGGGACTTGTTACTGCAGAGAGCCTCAGGACCAGCTGGCTGAGGGGACTCTTCTCTGGTTTCAGTTCCTAGTATGTAAGGGCTTTGTGATGGTATGTCTGGGGGGTTTACTGATTTTAAAATTTAATTGATCTGTATTTTTAGTAAGAGGGGGTACTGGCCGAGCTCTGCTCTGCACAGGTTATTTCTCTGCACCTGCAGGATGCTCTTACAGAACTCGCTGTGGAAAGATTCTATGATTGTTTTGTCCCATTTGTCAAATTCATTATTAATAAGTTTTGGCCCCTTTTTTGGCTTTGTCCCTCAGATCTTTCACAGCCATGTTGAAGTTCCCTGTGTATGCAATGTTGAGGCCAAGGTAAGTGTAGTTTTTTGTATGTTGTAATTTAGTGGTGTCTAAATAGAAATAGTTTGTAACATGATTTCTGTATCATTATCTTAGTCTTTGCTGTGTTTACTGTCAGGGCCCAGATCTGACAGAATCTCTGCAGGAGATTAAGGTGCTCCTGCAAACCTTCTTTAGTAGGTGAGAGCAACACTAAGTCATCTACATACAGCAGACCTCTGATCTCTGTGTCGTTCAGGGTGAGGCCAGGTGCCGTGGAACTCTCTAATTGGTTTGCTAATTCATTGATATATAGATTGAAGAGACTGGACTGAGATTGCATCCCTGCCTCACTCCCCGGCCCTGGGAGAAGAACGCTGTTTGTTTGTTTCCAATCGTTATGGCACATTCACTTTTTGTATACATGTTCTTAATCAAATCATATGTTTTTCCTCCAATACTCACTTTTAAGTAGCCTACAGAAAAGGCCCTTGTGCCAGATGGAATCAAAGGCTTTTTGGAAGTCACCAAAACAGGCATACACCTTTCTTTTCTTAATGTTTAATTCTTGATCAATTAGAGTCTGGAGGGTAAATATATGGTCCGTTGTGTGGTAATTCGGTAAAAAAAACAATTTGGCATTTAAATAAATAAAACAGAGGCTCTGTCAGATGGTTTGATAGGATGATACCTGTTGGATTAATAGTTGGACAGCACAATTTTTATCTTTTGCTGTAAAACACCTGTCAACAGCTTTTTAAAATCATTTCAATTTTGACTAATTGTCTACAAATATATTGCTATCTCATTAATTAAGAACATAGGGTTAGTATTTTTGAAAAGTATCCTTTTCCGATCCTACACAACTTCATCACCAATACCAAAACATGTGTCATCTGTATTTTCAAGCTAAAATAAAATAGAAATTGTACTAAGCTATTATCAAGTATATGAATTATTAGAGGTGTAAAGATTAACTGAATATGTATCAGGGGGTCGATATGGCTGGGCCATTGACAGGGCTCTGTCTGTGTGTGTGTGTGTGTGTGTGTGTGTGTGTGTGTGTGTATACACACGCAGTGGAGCTGAGCAGGTGACAGGTGAACTTCAAGTAAACTCGTCATGTTACGCTGAAATTCAACCATAGTGTTCTGTCGGGAGATGCAGTGACTTAAACCAACAGTAAGTAAGAAAAGTATAAATCCAGTACTTTGTTAGAAGAAGCAGACACAGTGTTTTTTTTACGCATGGACCAGGTAAAGCAACACTGAACACACCTGGTTTAGTTTAAGTCTAAATAATATGTAATTTGTTAAGCTATGAGAACAGAGGAAAAGTATGCTAGCTGCAAGGCTAATTTATGCAGTCTAAAATGCCATAGGCATAAGCTAATAAAGGTAACTAGCAAGTTATATCTTCTTGGCTCGTGCTGAACTAAACATCACAAGCTGGCTGAGAATGAGCTTGGGCCTTTAGGAAGGGGCGAGAGCCACTGCTGTAGAGGAAAAGGGTGCACTGGATTTATAACACAAGACAAAACAAAAGCCTCATTGCAAAACAGAATGCAGCACAATAATGTTTTGTCTTGATTAACTTGTTTTTATAATCGTCGGAAGCCAAAATCAAACCCTCTAAGACACAATCTAAATCATGGATTGAAGATTTAAGAAACTATTATTTTGTAAATATTCTGAATGCCATAGTTAACACCACTCCAGGACCTTCACAACAGCTAATGAACACTTATGCTACAGCTAGGGGGCCAAACAGACACTTCAAGTAATCTTATGTAAGCCTATTGCTTCATTTATATTATTGCTCGCCACAACAATCTACCTTTCAAAATATCAGTTCTCTACTTTCACTTTTCCTTCACTCTCTTCATCTTCTTCTGTATCCTGCCCTTCTTCTTGATCTCTGTTCTCTTCTTCCTCTTCCTTTTTATCAGGTATTATCATTGTCTGAGCTCTCCGCATCTTTAACACACAATATTTCTACTCTCCTGTGTCGGATGTTTCTCGGTCAGCTGGAAAAGCAGGCCTTCCTCTTTGTTTATAACAAATCTCATCTCACAAAAATATTCATTTCACGGGTCGCTGTCCCATACAAGCCAATATCCATGCAGGGAAAGGCATTAAGCATTATTCCCTTCTCTATTCAAATTGGAAACAGCAAAGTGGGGCTGTGCCAGAGATATCAGCCTCCTGCTGTACGCGGTTTGTCCTTGTAATGAGGTTGCGGCCACTGCTAACTATTCATTCAAGTCATTCACCAGACGGCCTTATCATTGCTCTCAAATTACTCTGGCTAAACGACGTGCAAAAAGAGACACGTCTCACCTGTCTTGTGTTGGACTGATGTGCTCTTAAAAGTTTATTGTCATTCAGTGACTCACATACCACACCCCACGAGGTCCATCCCAGCGTTAATTTTGTCAGCCATTTTAAAATTTAGTCTTAGTCTTAGGGGGCTGTCACACCTGAAAGTCTGCACCAAGGTCCAAAGTTCATGTTTTAATACAATTTCATACATTTGGTTAGTTTCACCGCACTAAAGGACTTTACATGACAGACGTACTATCGTCATCATCTATGTGGGCTGTGTCTGACTATACTTGTCATTGATTGGTTTATTAAACAGTTCAGCGGGTATC